TTTGGTTGAGATCCCTTGGGTTTTCTAGATACAATTCATATCATCAGCAACAGTGAAAGTTGAACCCTCTTTGCGACCAGTATTTTGAGGATTACCCCTATGTTCCATTTTCCTGTTCGATTGCCCTGTAGCCAAGAATTCAGGCCTATGTTAACAAAGTGGAGGATAGGGTGGAAGCTTGTGTGCCCAGTTCTAAGTTGGGAAGATTGATTTCAATTTTTTTCCCCCATTCAGTATTGATGTTGCTAGTGGGCTGTTCATATATGGCTTTGGTATCATTTTTTAGGTATGTCCCCCCTTCTAATGCCTATTTTCTTAGTGTCTCGGTATCATGAAAGGGGTGTTGAATTTTTGTCAAAAAAAGCTTTTTTTCTGGCATCATTTGAAAGAATCATTGTGGTCTTTATTTGTTCGTTTTTATGTGTTGTGAATTGCATCCTTATAGCTCTTGTAGTATGTTGACCATCCTCTGCCATCCCCCTGGGGATGAAGCACTTGGTGTGGGTTGGATTTATTTTTTTTGTTTAAGTGTTCTGGATTGGTTAGCTAAGATTTTTCTGAAAATTTTGGCCATCTATATTCATTAGGGATATTGAGGTCCCTGTAGTTTTTTCTTTTTGATGCATCGTTTCCTGGTTTTGGTATCAGGAGCTAATATCTCGGGGGCGTTCATGAAAAGGGGTCTGGTTGAGGTTTCCGTTTTCTCGATGTTGTGATAGTTTCTGCGAAGATTAGGTTACTAGTTCTTCTTTGTAGTATGGATAAAATGTCAGCTGTGAAGCCATCTGACCGGGACTTGTTTCTTTTTAGGGGGAGATTTTTTAGATTTGCTGTTTCTATTCTCCCCCCAGTTGTTTTGGATTTGGTCCCTTGTTCAGGGGAATGTATTTTTCCCCCCTGGGTGGGCCAGGCGGCTGCCATGTTCTAGAAAATTTGTCTGATTTCCTCCACATTTATCCGTGTTGCCCTAGTGCATTAAAGCATTTTTGTAGGTATTCATAAATTGTATCTATGTAGTGGTCTCTATGGGCATCAGTTGGTGATATCTGCCTTGTTTTTTTCCTTGATGGAGCTTATTAGAGATTTCTCTTTTTCCTGTTTGTTTAGCCTTGGCCAATGCGTGTGTCAGAATTTTTGTTTCGTGTTTTTTCAAAGAACTGACTTTTATTGTTTTAGTTATCTCGCTGAATAGGCTTTTCCCTGCTTTTTCAATTTCGTTTAGTTTCTGAAAATTTGATCTTGTTGAATTGTCACTTCTTATGCTTGGGGGTGTTGGGGTGGTCTGTTCTGATTTTTGGCGTTGTCTTTTTTTGTGCGGTTTTTCTTTTTCAGCTTTTGAGTCTTTTCAGATTAGATTGGTTATTTTTGATCTTCTTGGTCTTTTGGTTATAGGCATTTATGGAGATAAACTTTCCTCTTATTATTAATGTAGATTTTTTTACATTACTTTCAATTTGACTATTTAGAGCTAAAGGAAGGATTTCGTAGGTGGCATATACTAGGGTTCTGTTTGGTTTTTATCCATACATTCATCTTATTTTTCATTGGAGAGACTGAACCATTTACATTTAATGAAACTTCTGATGGAAAAGTTTGATGTTTCTGTTATTCAAAAACTGAAATTGATAATTTGAAATGAATTTCATTTAATCTGTAGATCAATCTGGACATCTTCACAACATTAGGTCTTCTTCCGTGAAGAAGAACGTA